GTGTTGAGGAGCGCTTTGCTGGTTTTTCATTCCTAGGGAAGTTTGCCATATACAGTGTTTTTCTAAAAGCTTTGCTATAGATGAGGAGAGGGGGAAATTACAATTCATTTTCTAGTTTTGTAATACTTATTACAGACTGCAGAAAGGGGATCAGTATCTTAGCCTTATTTACATATATTTACCTATTTGGACTGTTGCCTACACTGTTTTTGCTGGGTGTGTTTTCTGCTGTTTCATTTCTTCAGTCCCCTCCTATTACCATCTGAGCTAATTTTAAATCAGGACTGTCTGTAAGAGGAATGTTGCCTGCGAAGCCGGGTACCTCATCAGAACCCAAATGGGGAATATACAAACCCACTGGTTTGTAGTCTAGGTTCTGATCATCAGGTTTTGATTTAAAGCAATGTTGCTGGAACTGCAGCCACATTATTTTTATGGAAACTCAGCTTATGTCCCAAAGAAAAAGCATGAAAGCCAATCAGTACGTGTCCCAGTCACAGCAGAATAAGAGCTGAACTGGAGCATTATCTGTATGTAGGAGAGAACAGGATCAGAGCTGTCATCTGCAATGCGGATGATAAAAGAGAACTTGCCCGACATGAGGAGGAAAGGTGGGATGTTTTTTTTTCCCCTTCCTGGATGAACTGTCTTTCCGGTACCACATAACATTCCACAATTCACTAACCCCATCTGTCCCAGGAGCCCCAAAGTCACACGCAGCCTTTGTCTCGCGGCGCTTTTCTCAGTCAAGTTAGTGTCAGGCAGGGCAAATTTTATTCTGGAAAAGTCCAGGTCTGTTTTTAACCCCGGAGAGTTGCAATCCGGCATCATCTGTATAAAACTGGTCCAGCTTTTATGTGTAGTTAGAGAGTTTAAACAGCTGAAAGATAACGTTTTCCTGGGTTTGTAAGTCGTTGGTGCCTCTGAGTTGGAGTATTTTTGCCTTTCAATTAGGTACCCAAATGGAGAGCTGACCTGCAGCCAGTACCGAGGACCTGAAGTGCTTGTACTTTCTTGGAGCAGTGGACTTCCAGGTGCTCTGAAAACTGGGCCTTAATTAAACAGGGCTTTCAAAAAGTGAAATTCTTTGCTTCAGTGAATGCTCTCAGTAATTTGAGTTTAAATAACTTGAAGGAAGTGTGTAGCAAAGTTACAGACAGAAATCCTGATGGCTTTTGTTCTTTCTGCAAGCCGTTATGTTGGCGATGAGAGACTATAAATATACGAAGGTCAAATGAATGCTTGTATTTGTTGTTGGGTGAAGATGGCCCAAATCTGTTAGAGATTTCAATCACAGGAACCCCATCAAAAATATCCTGTATTGAATATCCAGTACGCTTCCTTGTATGTTCATCTGCCTGCACCATGCTGATCTGCAATCTGTTTTAGGCTGCCTCATTGCTCACTCAGCAGAGGAGCAAGCAAACAGGAAAAGCTTAAAAATTGTCTGTTGAATATCTACGTTCTTTCTGCTTGCAGTTGTGAAACTCGGCCTGAGATACTTGAGGTACAAGAAGTCTCTGGAGGTTTTTTACTCTAAGGGCCTGATCTTCTTCAAAGCAATTCTAGGTAGACATTTATACATTCACATGAATAGAAATGTGTGCCTTGGTGCTTGCCCTGTTGGATGAGTGCACAAGTCTTAATTTTGCACATGCCTGGAGCTAATGAGATGCAAGCTCGTTGTGCCTGCAGCATCTTGGAGCCCACGTTCCAGTCCCCCACCGATGGTCAGGCTGTTGTGTCCTATGCAACGCTCGAGCGTAACAGAAGCCCTGTAACTGTGCTTTTTGGGCTGGTTGCAAGGGAAAGGCCAGTAGTCGGGCTCTGAACTTCCTTTTTCTATGTGTAGTTGTTTACACATGCCTAAACTGAGTGCAAAAGGTCCAAGGTTCTCCTAGCACACCCACCTTCTACTTACAGAAGAAATGCACAAGCTGCTGAGCAATGGGGAGTTGGTCTCCGATAATTATGCTTGGTGCCAGCAATATGTGGAGCTAAACACATACAGTCATAACAGCTGTACAAGATCCAATGCAGTGATCAGGAATGATAAACACAGGACAAATAACTGGGGCAGAAAAGAGAGCAATTTAATAAAGCAGTATGATGGCCAGCAGATGACTGGCATGGACAGCCTGGGTTTCTTTCTGACGAAG